TGGTGCAGAACGGCCTGTGTGTGTTGCTCAGGTGGGTGCATTAACTTCAGTAGTGCTCAGGGTTCTCACCTATATGTGAAGTGCTTTGGGATCCTTTGGAGTTTTGGGGAGAGGAAAAGGAGTAGGCACATGAAAACACTGAATTTATTATATTAATTCCCCTGGAAACATGGATCTTACGTTTATCTACTAATTTGTCAGCCTGTGGTCACGCATGGCAATTTCCAAATCTGTACAGCAGATCTCTCTCTCCCCCCTCCCCCCTCCTCTCTCCCTGTGTCTAGTCTCTGGGCTCTGAACCTGCCAGCCCTGTCCCACAGTGGGGGGTCACTAGATTGCTCCTGTGATCTCCTACAACCTCCCTCCCCTTTTCTTTCTGCTCTTGGTCTCTGCAGACCTTTGAAGTCCCTCTACCATTGTATCCAGGAGGAAGTTTCCATTTGTCACCTTCTGAAGTGGCCAGACCTCATGTGGGGTTATCTGTCCCTCGCTGTTTTATGAGGTACATCAATGTTTGTGTGAGTGTGTGTGAATTGCTGAGCTTTAAAAATGAATGATTCAGCCCTATTTTAATGCTTTTTGCTCCAGAGTGTAATTTCCCCCCATTTTCAGGGAGCACAAAAAAAGCACATTCAGCAATAATAAAAGACGGTTCCCACAAAGAAAAAAATGATTGTTTTAAAAGGAAACTGGAATTGATTTGAAGGCACAAAGAGAAAATATTGAAACAAAGAAACATCTTTGAAAGGCCATTCTGTTAAATCTGTAAATTGCTTGGATTTATCTATGTGTAGGTATTCTGTAAAACAATTCAACTATGTAACACGTTTTGTAAATAGTTCCTCTTCCTTTAAAAATATAATTTGTTGCCGGTAGGTTGCGAAGTCCCAGAGAAATGGTAAAAACAGGTAGTATTGTACAGTGGACTTGCAACCATTTGGAGAAACATAAAATACACTGGCATCCTGCACCCTCCTAAGTCTGGTAGGTCTTGCTCTGTGTTGTAAAATTCAAAGCCTGGAGAAACTGCTTTGACTGAAATTCCGCGTTGTGGGAATCAAGTCCTAGAAAAAGAGACAGACGACAAACGCACACAAAAATAATCACACCCGACCCAGACGCGTTACTAAGAACTTGTCAGTTTAAGCTTCCTCGCTGTTCAGGCAATGTTACTATACAATAGTATTTCTAAAATCGCGTTGTAATCTTTAATGTTTCCAGAGCACAATATTTTCCCTGTTCTTCCTTAAGACTTTTTAGAATTTTTTCGGTCTTTCACATTCTGCTTGACATCATCATCATTATTGCTGTTGTTTCGACTAGGCCCTCTTTTCGACTAGGCAATCTTTGGATTGCCTCAAAAAATCTCGCAACCATTTTAAATTTGTATTTGCTGGGCCTCCCCCTACCCCTCCCCAAGCACACACACAGCAAATAATAATTCTTCTATATGCCTCCAGATTGAAGTGAAAAAAGATGATTGAGGAAGGAAACGGTGTCACCAAAGTGTAAATCTTTATTCGCATGCAGTACAATAAAATGCACCAGACTCAGGCTTAAAGCTCATTCCCTCCTCTCTTTCCTGTTCAGACTTCAACTTCTATCACAGCTCCTGCCGTCGCCGCTTTCTTCGAATTACTTCAAAAGCAGTTTATTATTACCTCCAGCAGTCGGCCAATCGGTGCGCACGGAGAACTCCCACGTGATGCGCTGACTTTTGGGGGGCAGGAGCTGACGGATGAGCTTTCGGGGGGCAGGGAGACTTGAAATTCTGGCCAGCCGCGCTAGTCTCCCGCTGGCAGCCAAAGAAGACAGGAGGGACAGAGGCAGAGAGAAGGAGAGGAAAGCACGGAAAAAAAGACGAGAAGGCTAAAATCCAGTCTGACTATATGCATGTTAACAAGGAAGAATGATTGCAGCCTAAATCGGAGTATTTAGGAGGGGAATCTGGTTCTGCTCAGAGAAAATTGGCCGTGGAAGAAACGGAGCTTTGTCGAGTTAACCATTAATTTTTCCATCAAGACGCATTGCTTTGGCACTCAGACTGCATATTTACAAAATTAAACGCGTGGATATTTGTACCTAATTAACCCCATGTCTGACTGAGAAGTCCACTCCTCGAAATTGCTTCATTTTTTTACATCTGTGTCTTCGGGTTCCTGTGGAGCGCTTTGGACAAGATCAGAGGGTGTGCGTCTTCCTAGCAGATTTGCTCGTTAAAAACCCAGACAGCACGCTAACAGAAATACGATCGGCCAGCACCGATTTCGCCAACAACCCTGGGTCTGCTGGTGAGCCCCGGAGTGAGACAGGCGTAACCCCAGCGCGTTTCCCGAGAGTGCCTGGCTGTGATGGCTGTGGAGAGGGCTGTGCTCCGGGCTTGGACCCTGGTACTGCTCCAGGTAGGAGAACTACCGCCGTGCTACAGGCAGGGCAGCGGTGTTTTGCGTGCGCTGCTAAGCAACACCGCGGCTCTGTTTAAAATCAGGTACCAGCAGTTCGGAAGCTGCGTTCTGCGCTCTACAATACAAACAGCACCAGAACTGGCTTGCAGAACAGACATTGCGGGGTTTTTCTCCATTTAAAAAAGTACGCATTTTCATCTTCTGGTAGGGAACGCACACACAAATACAAAATTCGCGTCGACTATTGCACAACTGCTGCGATCAGGATTAGAGCATTACATGTTTGCAACAGACATTAAATAAAGAGTTTAATTAATTACAGCTCTCTTTTCCACTGATACAATTTGCCTCTAGCTTGATTTTTAAATTAAAAGGGAATGTTTGGAAATAATTGGATCTTTATACATTATTTCTTAATGTTGTCGGAATTACAGTTATGAATGCTGCCTAGGGTACTATATTCACAGGTAATGTGTAGTATACTTTATCCATCAGTAAAGGCGGTCATGAAATACATATGTAGGTTTATATCCGTTAGACATTAGAGCCTCAGATTGAAGATATTGCATATTTAGGGAACAAATAGAATTTGAAAACTATGTGGCGTCCAGTACCTGTATAAATGTTTGCCTGTGTCTGCGTTTCTTCAAGCTAGCGCACTCAGCAGTAAGAATGAATGCCACCGAAACCAGTCCCGTCTGTTTCAGCAAGCCTTTTAGTGACTTCTCAAACTGAGGCTCTTCAGTACGTTCCGGGGCTGCCTGTCTCTCTGCTTTCCTGTTTGTAAGATGCATGGCTCGTAGCGTGTTGTCACTCTCGCACACATCTGCTGCGAGCTGTCTTCCAGATGTTGGGGTAGCGGTGACATCCTGCCAGCTAGACTCCAGACCGGCCGTGTTCACTCTGTTCTGTCTCACACAGAGGAGAATGAGGAGACGCTTTCCGAATATTCAGCAGGGAGAACAGGATTAGTTGATAAAGCTGAGAAAAACGTTATCTCCACTGCTCTGGACTAGGGGTCGGGGGAGAGTTCTTTTATGAAAGGACAGCTCTCTCTACTATACCCCTGCAGGGATTCCAGTGTCCTTTTCCATCACAGGGAGTAAATTTGCGTTCTTGGTATTAAATGACTTTTTTTTTTTACCAGTCACTAGTAATAAACATCCACGACAGAATGGACGATTTTAAAGTCGCGCATTTCGACGCTGGCCCAAGGTTTACAGGTCTTAAATCAAACTCGAGTAGAAATTAGTGGAAATACTAATATTTTAAATAATATTAAAACCGGTCATTTAAAGACTATCAACAAACGACGTCCGTTGTTAATAGAAGCTAAACTGATTATAGAGTGCGCTATTTTGTCCTTAATGAAAAATTGATTTACTCACATCGGGACAGGTAGAATGATTTAATCGTGTGTTTCATTTTTTTCCATTAAAGTCAAGAGATAATAAATAACAACCCCGATCTGACGTTAATATAGCGCAAAATTACCGAGATCCTTCCGTGAAAATACGTGCTGTTTTTTCCTGTACTTTACCTGTATTTGTATCTAAATTCGAATACTTTTTCCAGGCCCCAGGTTGTATGCCGTGCAATTTTTGTGCTCTTTATTATAGCTAGCTCCACGAAGCTAATTTTGTGGGCTTGGGTTATCAAAGTATCCAACTTGAACATAACTTGGAAGTTGGAATGAGGTTTGAGTGGTGGAAAATGATTCATACCCCTATTCGAGTAATTAATCTCTTCTATCAGATTCTTGCGTGGGAGTTGTTTTAAGAGCCCTGTTCGGAAATAGTCCTGGATCACTGCTGAATTGTTCCGCACAGGCCTGAACACACCCTGCATCTTCAGACAATACTCCTGTCCGGTCATGCTTTGTAGAAAAGGATCTTTTTTTTTTTTGTCGCAAGAGCATACTGAAAGAGCGTATAGTTCCAAGTCACGAACTAAGCTCCAAGTTCATATTCTAATAACTAACCAGAAGGATTTTGTGGAACAATCTTACATGGAAAAAATGATAGGTGGACAATTATGTGTCTAAAAAATGGATACAGATTCCAAAAGGTTATCTCGACTTCGGGGTTGCAAGCAAAAATTATTTGATACAGGTTAAATTCAGGTCCCAACATATTGAGCACGAAATAAATGTGAGCTGACTACTTTCATTTAGGGCGTATAATGATATTTTGAGTTATGTCAGAATACAAATTTAGAAAAAAAAAAACTAGAACAGTGCCTGTTGTTCTTTCTTCTTGACGGGAATGATTTTTGTTAATATGTTAAAATATCGTGCTACCAGGTCTGCCCATTGTTCGTGTTTCTACGAAGGAAATTCCAGACAGCAAATCCAACCACTTTGATGAAATAGTAAATCGTGGACTACATACAACAATTTTCCGTTTTACTTCAAGTTTGGAAAGAAGGACTAGTCAGATAATTGATGCGCTTTTTATGGTGTTCAGCAAAACGTGATTTACGAATCACAATATAAATGTAGGTTTTTTTTTTACATTTATAAGACGACTAAAGTGATACTGCATGCATTGGCGTCTTGAACACAATGAACTGTGTGTAGTCGCAAAGGAGTCAGTCATACTCTAGGAAATCACCTCAACAGTTTCCAAAACTGACATAAAAAGCATTTGCTAAATGTTCAGGTTATCTTGTCTTCGGGACACACAAATGAGGGGTACACACTGTCTACGGGCACTAAACATTTCCTCCCCCGATTCCCCCTAAATCCCCATGTTCATTTCGATTTCCCATTCTTAACCCAACCTCCCTTATCCTAAGCAAAGCGCGGTGACAGTGAAAGTATCACTGGGATGTGGATCCGGATGAGGGTAACTACCATTCCGTCTGTGTGTAGAGGGGATATAAGTAACGAGAATTTCCATTTTAACCGCAGAGCCGCTGTATCCGCGGGGGGTGGCTGCCGTTATCCAAATGAACTCTCGACCCCTCTTAAAATGAGATGTTTTTGGAACGACATTAAGAGCGCCTGGAAGTAGGTTGCTTTTTAAGTCGAGGAGCTCAGAGTAGCGGAAACAAAGTTAGCTACGTTAATTTTCGGGCGCAAGAGCATTTTTCTAAAAAACCTGGCTTTTGTCAAGAGATGAAAATAAATCGAGTGGTAAACGTGAAACGTGTATTTTTAGAATTGTCGTAATTTCTTTCTGGTCAGATCAACTTCTAAAGCGGTACCACAATTGTCCTCATCCAGGCATACACACGCCCTGTTTAAATTTCACAAATCCGAGGTGTAAGTGACACTTCGGTGGGAATTACAGGGATCAGCGTCAGTAATGCCTCCTAGGGCGAGACCGGCTGGCCTGGATGACTTCCGAGCACGCTTTGCTTTCATCTTATTCAAGTGGAAACGTTCACGTTTTGTCCGCTTGTGCGCATCTGTTCCGGAGAATCTACCCAGTCTCCTGCTTTCTTGCGCATACTCACAAACCTGGACAGCCACTAGCGCAGGTTTTCTACAATTCTCGCTTAATTGTCGAGCAACTAACGCGAGGTTCATTTGGAAAACCTTCAATTTCATGAATTTAGAAGTGGAGAACCCCGAGAGGCTGAAGGTTATTGATTATGTTCCATTCAATTGTTTGACACAACAAAGCACACACTTAAGCACAACATAAAGAAGTTGTCTTCAAGATCTTTAGAAACTGAAGATTTAAAGGTAACTATTTAATCTGAAGGACTGGATCTTATCCAGACCCAGCTGCACTTCTGTACAGACTTGTGTATCAGAAAGGCATTGTGTTAACGTATTTCACGGTCAGACCCCTCTGGCCGTGTAGATGCAAGATGTTTTTTTGTGTTCTTTCCATTTGCTGTTTTTGTTACAAATTCTGAATCATTTGTAGAGTTTTCAAAAGTGCTCGATTTGCGCTCCAGGGGAACGTGAAGGGAAAGACCGTAACTGTCTGACAGTAACAAGGTGTCTCAGTTTTCGGGTTGAAGAAGTTAATGTCAATTAAGTAATGATACATTAGACTGGAATGCAAACCGCTAGACACACCAGCCTTCTGTGAAGCCTTCAGTACAATCTTTTCACTGGGGGTGCTTAGCATGGATTTGGAGCTTGGGAGTAGTTGTGGCTTGATGTCTGTCCCCCATGGTGCTGATGCTAGATATACACAACAGAACTCCACTAGTATCTGGTTTGAGCAACAGATGGAGAAAAATCCTAGTGTTCTTAACTGCTACAACTGCTATTCCGAAAACAGTTTGAGCACTGTGGTCCCGGGTTCGAGCCTGGTCACATCACGAGTGGGCCATAACTGGGATTTGCTTGGGATAGGGTAGGATTAGTTGGGCAGGCCTCTCTTGGCTCTCAGCAGCTTAGCGGTGCTGTCAGTGATAGGATGCGCCTCTCCTCTAATTGGTGGTGATCTTCCAGTAGTGGGCAGTGCTGCCAGTGACTTGTAAACTCACAATTGGCTCAAAGATGGGCAGGGTCGGAGGACTTTACATCCACTTCCTCGTTCTCCCCCTTTAGCGACCACAGGATTTGAGAAGCAATACCAATGTTTCGGCCGTGGAGTTCTTCACACATCTGAAGAAGGCTCCACGGCCGAAACGTTGTGTTTTATTTCTTCTCTTTTCAGCATGGAATAAACCTATGACTTGTTCCTTTGCATAACAAAAATAATGCACAATTCTTAATTTAAAGCAATAATGGGGGATATTCATTTCCTTGGTCTTTTTAATCATGTCTAAATATTGGAAATAATTTGATTTCAGACCAGATTTAAGTATTTAAATATTAATTTCTGCTAAAATGTTTAGTTCTTTGAAAATTATTGAAAAACTCAACATCTTAAAATCGGAAATTGCTGGGGGGTTTCCAGGCACTGTGCATGTTAGAACCAGCTTATCCTTTTAGTTCTTTTTTTTCTAAACCTAGTTGCGGTCATAAATGCAACAGTGAAGACAAGTTGTCGGGGCTCAGGACTTGTCCCTACAAGGTTGTGGGGTCAAAT